TATACCCTCAATAGGGTGCAAACGCTCGTTAGAGTAGTTCGTATAATTTGAAAATTAATCATACTAGACGTGAGAAAATAACCCACAAGACAATTCTTAAAAGAAATTACCGACCCGTTTCCCCCCGACTCTAGAATCAGAATTTCCTCTTCCTCATCACCTAACTGCAAACCATCCAATCTTTTTTCAATATCACCCATAAGGAAACCAGTAGAACAACACTCGTGATCAAAAGAGATCGTGTTACAAGAGCTGTCGAAAGCCAAACAGGGCAAAAACCATAAAAACTATCAAAAAATAAAGAGAGAAATGGCAAAACCCTAGATTGAGTTTAGGATTTAAATTAAATAAATTAAATTCATTAAAATTAACATAATATTGTTTGAAAAATAAAAAATTACCAAATTAATATTAATTTTGTTTTAGTAGGAAAATGTTACCAAATATTAGCAATACTATGCACTATACGATCCAGATCTTCAATAAAAATTGTATATTTATTATTATTTATTGTTGTGGCAAATTGTACATTTTTTTTCTTCTCAAATTTATAATGCTCATAAATTTGAACTATTTTTTTAAAATGTTATATATCATTCTTTTTCAACACAAAATCCTTTTTTGTTTGATTTAATTAATACATTTTTATCAGTAACGTCATCATCTGACACATAAAAAAAATAACAATTGCATCATCTTGAACCTTATAGAACATAAGACTTGACAATGTTTATTTTTTTCCTTTCATCATAATGAGAGAGCTTTTGCAAATTTCATGCCTTCAACTTTATTATTCACAAATTTTAAAAATAAATTACATTATCAAATGTGCAAACAATCTCATTGAACAATTTAAGTGTGATTGTGTCAATATTTGCGATCTTACAAAATTCATTATTCCAAAAAAATAGCACTTGTTTATAGTTTTATATGTCGCAAACTATTTTTAATTAATAATCATATAAAAACTAATATCAAAATTAAAAAAAATCATATTTTTTTTATAGAATCTTTATCAGAAGCAACTAGAAGTGCACCATAATCATACTACGTTAGCTGACCTAGATTTCTCTTATTGTTATCCCTTGTAATATATAACATCCTTTTGATTTATATTATTAGAAGCATAATCTTATTAAAAATTTCTATTATTTTGAGATATAGTTTAGACGCTAATAAATGTATTTAGCGTTAAAATATAAGAGAAAGTATATCGAAATCTCTAAATAAAAGTTGGGATATTTAACTTTATATTTTCAAGAACATTCATCATTTGTCTAATTTAACCTTAAAAAAGTGGAGCCCTAAAACCCGAAAATAAAGTCGACCCGGTACCCAATTGAAAACCCAAAAACACACGCTAGTCTTCTTCTATAGTTTATCCCCTTCCTTTTCTTTTAGGGTTTATCAGAGGTTCTTCTTATTCGAAAAGCAGCGAAAGCAAAGCAAATGGGGTCTCTAAGGGCTATACGTCGTGTACGGAACCCAACACCAATTCTCACTTATATCTTCTCCAAGGTACGCCTTAACTCCTCTCCCTTCATTTTCGATCGCCACTTCTATAGAACCCAGATTTTATCCCAGGGCGCAAAGTCTCTTAGCACATCCACTATCCCAAACAACTACGGGGGACCACCGCCTCCGCCGCACAACCAAAACCAGCAACCGCCACTTTCATCTGATCCCAGGGATTTTCGTGGCCAACGAAACCCTAATTTCAATAACCAACGGTCCCCTCAAAACCAGGGCTACCATCATCCGCAACAACAGGCCGGAGTTCATGGTAACAATCAATGGAATACACGCCAGAATCAGGGCCACGGTTATTCTCAACGAGAAATTCCTAATCAGTGGAATCCTCAACAGAATCAGGACCAGGGTTATTCTCAACGAGAAAGGCCTAATCAGTGGAATCCACAGCAGAATCGAAGCTATCCTCAGTACCCAAATGCTAATCCGATGAATACACAAATGCCCAGAAGTCCAAATCAGTGGAATAATCAGGATCAAAGCCAGGGGTACCCTGAAGGTAGAAATTATAATGAAAGAGCTCCACAAAGTCAAAACCCTAATCAGTCGGGCAGCTTGAGAGGGAATCAAGGGCAAATGGTGGAGCATGTGCAGACTGAGCCGGTTCCTTCATTGATAGATTTAACGCGGTTGTGTCATGAGGGGAAAGTTAAAGAAGCTATTGAATTGATGGGTAAAGGTGTTAAAGCTGATGCTAATTGTTTTTCGTCTTTGTTTGAGTTAATTGGAAATCCCAAATCACTTGAGGATGCGAAGAAAGTTCATGATTACTTCTTGCAATCGACCTGTCGAGGTGACCCTAGATTGAACAATAAAGTGATTGAAATGTATGCAAAATGTGCTAGCATGACTGACGCACGAAGAGTTTTCGATCACATGCCTGATAGGAATATGGATACTTGGCATTTGATGATAAATGGCTATGCAGACAATGGCTTGGGAGATGATGGGTTGCAGTTGTTTGAGCAGATGAGGAATTTTGGATTGAAACCGACTGAACAGACTTTCCTTGCAGTTCTTTCAGCTTGTGGTAGTGCAGAAGCTATAGAAGAAGGGTTTTTACATTTTCAATCGATGGATGGAGAGTATGGGATTTCTCCCGGGGTCGAGCATTATATGGGGCTTATAGGTGTTCTTGCAAAATCTGGTCATCTTTATGAAGCTAAAGAGTATATCGAGAAAAAACTGCCTTTCGAGCCAACTGTTGAAGTCTGGGAGGCATTGAGAAATTATGCTCAAATTCATGGAGATGTTGATCTTGAAGATTATGTTGAGGAGTTGATTGTTGATCTAGACTCATCAAAGGTTGATGCTAATAAAATCCCTACCCCACCACCGAAGAAACGTACTGCAATCAGCATGCTTGATGGAAAGAACAGAATTGGTGAATTTCGTAATCCAACCCTTTTCAAGGATGATGAGAAACTGAAAGCCTTGAAAGCAATGAAAGAAGGAAGTTATGTGCCTGACACAAGATATGTTCTTCATGACATTGACCAAGAGGCAAAAGAGCAAGCACTGCTGTACCACAGTGAGCGATTGGCAATTGCGTTTGGTCTAATCAGTACCCCAGCTAGGCAAACTCTTAGGATCATCAAGAACCTCCGTGTATGCGGTGACTGTCACAATGCTATCAAGATCATATCGAGGATTGTTGGGAGGGAATTGATTATTAGAGACAACAAGCGGTTTCATCATTTCAAGGATGGCTTATGTTCTTGTGGGGATTACTGGTGAAGGGGCCTCACATCATTTCAAGGATGGCTTATTAGAGAGATCACGTGGTTCCATCATTTCTAGGATGGCTTATATTCTTGCAGTGGTTACTGGTAAAAGGCCTCACATCAGTTTCGTGAATTCTTTCTATTTAGATTTTGATATGTAATGTTTTAGAGTTGGGAATAAGCATTGCTGTGAATGGAACTGTTGTTGACTCGCTGCTTGTTTTTTCAAGTGAATGGCTCATTATTAGGCGATATGTATATGTTTTTGCTTGTTCTGATGCTTAACTAGTAGTATTTTACTAAGTTTTTAGTGTCTGCTCTTCTGCATGGCCTTTTTTTTGCTGAATTAAACCTTCTTTATTCCGTTTTCTTGTTTTCCTATAGATTTAGGAGCTAAGTGTGGAAACTTTGAATAAATGGTGATTAGTTCATTAGAGATATGTCATGTGACTTTGGCTCCATACTACATGCATAATTCGTTGCATGGCAGCTATTAATGAAAATGACAAAATCACTATTGTGTTCATAAGATGTTTGAATGACTTGAAGATTCATGAAAATGATGTTAAAGTTACAAATGATGCCCATGTTTTGGATCAAAACAGAGATAACTATTAATTTGACAGTAGCGCAAACTGTTTTATTCTTTGAAATATAAAAACCGCTTCTTTAACCAGAGGAATCAATGTTACATTGGCATACATTAAGGGAAGAAGCTTCCAGATCCAAACAGAAAATGAAATTCCCTTTTAATCTTCATAGCCCAAGTCACCATGTTCATGAATTCATCCATGTCAATCATACCGTTGCTGCTGTCCATTGCTCTTCCCATTTTCTTACAGCAACTCCATAACAGTTGAGGTCGGATGTGCTGACAGCGTTCTCAATTTCCATCGTCGTCACCCCACCGCTCTTGTGTACTTCCACAAAATACCTGAAATTGTTCTCAATTTCCATTGTCGTCACTCCATTGCTCCTCGTGTACTTCCACAGAGTAGTTGAAACTGATAAACCCATCTCCATCAAAATCGGCCACCCAAAAGATCTTGGGTACATCTTGAGCCATCTTTCCTTGCCCTAGAGTCCTCAACATGACCTTGTACTCCATCTGAGAAATCTTCCCATTTTTAATGGAATCCAGTTCATTTAGATCAGGCTGGAAAGCAGTTAACAACCCAGAGTTCTGCTAGTCTCCAGAAAACAAGCACAACGATTTGCACAAGAACTTGTTCAACATTCGACATATTTGCTGGTATTGTTGATCTGACCATAGCAAGAAACAAAAACCGTGCAAGTATAATCAGGTTTCAAGTCTCAATGTTCGATTTTTGCAACTTGAGCACCTTACAAATTTATAGGTTATTCATGGCAGATGAGAAAATGATACTCTAATTCTTAAACAATAGATGAGTTGCATTTAAGGCTACTGTTTCATGCTTTATCAGCCTGCAAGCCATCAATGAAGAAAAAGGTTACAAAGTGACGAAGTAGGATTAGAACAGAGACGTGGCAGGGATGAGAGGAGGATAATCATAAGAATACATTATTTAATAAAGTTACAAGTGGTTCCTTTTCCCTCTTTCAAATCTCAATCAGAAAATTTTCTTAATTCATTTTTCTTTTTTGGCTCTCTTTCACCCTCTGCACATGTAAAGAATAGTCTACGTAAAATGTTCAACAAAAGGTGTTAGAAAAATACAACTCTGGAATGTTGTTAACAAATTATCCCAAAGAAATGTTCGAAAAAGTTCAAGGTGGCTTTCCATTATCCACATCCACCATCACTTCAATATCTTTCCTAGCTGTTATCTTCTGCACGTAACCTGCAACGAATGATGAGCGTTACATTGCGATCGCTATGTGGAACAAACGCAAAAAAAGTAGTTCCTCTAGTCATCAAACAATCAAGGAGAATGACTCATCACTCTTCATATTGACATATTCATCATCTTTGTTCAGTGTCTACGTTCAAAACCAATGTTAAAGAAACAAACAACCATAACAGGTGTTAGTCAAGATTTTTCTAAAAGCAATAAACAGTTAGAAATTTGGGAAGCCAAAACCAATAAACATCTGTCTGAATGAAGAGCCTAGAACAAAATTCTGGAATCTGAAAATTAATCTGATAATTGATTCAATAAAAAGGCATCAAAGCATATGTAAAAGAGGTTAGCCTTAACTATTAAAGACATGATCAAAATAGCAGCAAAATCTCTGATAACAGACACATAAGATTAAATTTCTCAAAAAACATCTCAATACATTTTCTTTATACAATGTCTAAACTACTCATAATCCTCTAAACGCCTAATTGGACAAAATGGCACATTTAAGCGAACTCAAAATCATGTCCTCTTGGTAGTTGCAACTTGCAACAGTAACGTGCCAACCAAACTAAGACTAAGTTGATATCTCAATACATATTAGATGTACTAAACTAAGACTAAGTTGCATTCAGATTTCTACTAAATAAGTGACTAACGCTTAAGTGGCAAGTGGCAACTCACTGTTGAAGTCTAAACCATGATGAGCCATATGTTTACTTGAGGGAATCTACATATATTCTTTTCACCAATATAGACTTCGAATAGATTCCGCTACTCTTTACATGTTGGACTATGCTTCCAAGTAAAGTTAATCGAGTTACACTTACAACATAATTGCAATCTATGTTGCTTGATTCTACATTTTTCTTGAAGCATCCATATTAGATAGGGGTATTAGAATATGACCTAAAAGAACCTCCAAAGACATGAATATTTTCGGGGAAAGAATTGAATATACGCATGTTGGACATATCCATTTCCAATACTCGGACTAGAGTCCCAGCAACACGCATTGCAGTCCTAAGAAGAGGCAGATAGCTAGATATTCTTCCAAATTGAAAATTGATATCAATAACATGATGACAAATAATAAGAAGAAAATACCAATTCCAAGGCAAGGTATACATTTGCAAATAATCTCTTTTCCTCTTTTATTATAGTAGCTAACAAGTCCAGTCCCCTGGCAACTCCTGCACTCTCCAGTCCATTCGTAAACCACTTCCTTACAATCCTACAAACAAAACCCATCGAAGATCAACCAATTCTAATATCTAAAACCCAACACTTTACTCTTTGAAACGAGCTATAAACAAAGAAACAAACCTCGATTTCGGGGTCACATTGGAGTCGCTTATCGATTTCTACAGGGGCAACAGGGGAAGAATCAGGGTAGGTCATAGGAAGAGGAAGAGGTTCATCGTCATCAGTCAAATAGCTCTCCCGATTCCTCGACCATTTTTTTACCTTGATGCTACTCCCAGGTGGAGCTTCGTAGTTGTCTTGTCCGATTCTCACACCACCTCCGTAAATATCGGAGACGGTCGGGAAATGGAACCACTTACGGGATGTGGGACCGGCGGGAATATCGCCGGCGGAGGCGAAGCACCGGGTTGAGGTTCGTGGAAGGATGGGAAGGAGTAGGGATGGGCTGGCGTGCAAAAGGCTAGGGTTTGGAGGTAACATTCGAGTAAAAACTGAGAACGAAATGAAAGGGAAAATGGGGAGAAGATTGCGAAGCTCTGCAGTTTTGGCTATGGAGTTTGGAAAGAGGATTTTAGCGACCCACTTTGTCATTTTCTTCCAACATTTTTTTTGTAATCTTAAAACCACAGCATTATCATCCCAACAAAGACTGATGAACGTTATAATATATGAGAATGTAACGAATTTGTCTTCGGTACCATCTTTCTCTTGTCAAAGTCCAGCACAAATGTCCTCTTTGTTTGTTTAGCATTATATAAGTTTGGGTAAACTACGTTAACAGTCTTCTTTATTTTCGGTACGATTTGATCATCAATTTTAAAATTAAGAGTAAATGATCCGTAATATTATTGATTCGTTCGATTTTAGTCTCAATCTTTAAATTCCGTTAACCTCTTAAAGGAAGTATTAACTGATAATTAATTTTTTTTTTAAAAAAAAAGTCATGTGCTTTTCCTCTTTTTCCCCTTTAACCCACTTCCTTCACAATGATGATTTGCTCATGAGGTAAGTTTTTTTCCAAATCCATTGAACAATATTTTTTAATCCACTCCTTTTTCTCTTTCTAATTCATCCCATTATTTAGCCTCTGTAAATTCATATGCTCACAAACTCCAAGCTTTTCACATATTTTTCTAGAGTTGAACATTTTTCAGTGTTGATCATGGAAGGCCTTGTAAAGTCTCAAAGTTGTTTGCAGGGAAGTCATATTGACAAATCAATATCCCCCATTACACTTAATGCTGGAAAATTTCAATTATATCAATAAATATGTGCAAATTCAACGAAAAGAAAAGGAAATGAAAGAAAATTACTTAAAATCAATGGGAGGTAGAGAAATCATAAGAAAATAAAGATTAATCATCATCGATATAAGCAATTTGCTCGTTGTAGTGAATACAATGATTATAGAGCATGTTCAACAACAATTTTTCACTGTAAAATGCCGAAAACTAAATATAACAAAACAAATGCAATCATGTTAAGAGTTGGCGAAAATGACAAACCTATTAGGTATGTTCTTAACCATGGTAGTGGTCCTTGAATCTTTACCATTAGATTTTGATATGGCTTATTCTCTTATTAAGAAACAAGGATCAAATGTCCTCTCTTGTTTACCTTTTCACAATCTTCCCTATTAGCAATATTGTGCACGTGTTAGTGTATGACAGTTGAGGTTGTTAGAGTGGTTGGGGAGTATTTAAGGCTTATAACATACTATATGAGTTCTATATAAACAACTAGCACTGTGTACTCAAATTAGCATTGTTTTCATTAATAAAAAGTTGTTATATTCTTATTCTTCCTGATATCTTAACATGGTATCTTTCGTTACTGGTATTGGGATTCTTTGTTTTCGCTTTCGTTCGTGAAAATAGTGTTTCTGTTTCGCTCTTTGCTCATGGATCTCTCTTTTGGTGCTTCTTGAGGGTTTGCCAACAAGAAAGTAAATGTGATTCTTGATGAATCCAACTTCTTGCTTTGGAAACAACAGATCTTGCTCACGATTCGGAATCATTGTCTAGAGCAGCTGCTGACCCGTGATGTTTCTCCTCCACCGATGATTGTTGTTGATGCAAATGGTGAGATCCATGCAAATGAGGCGTATGAAGACTTCATTGCACATGATAGTGCACTCGCATCCTGGTTGCTATCTACGGTTAGTCCACATTTTCTGCCTCAATTTGTTGGAGTCGAAACTGTTGCTGCGATTTGGGAGGCGGTGCTCAAGTTTTTTTGCAAACCGCTCTACCATGGCCGTTATGAGTATTCACTATAAGTTGCAGACCATGAGGAAGGGAAATGACAACATGCGTATTTATCTTACGTATATTAAGGAGGTATGTGATGTTCTCGCTTCGTGTGGAAGTGTTGTTCCTCCAGTCGAACAAATTGTGAGCATTTTGAAAGGTCCTCATCGTGAATATCGGTCGTTCATGGCTGTTATCTCTACCATGAAAGAGGCTCTCTCGTTAGATAACATCTATGCTATGTTAATGGATGTTGAGGTGCAGTTGGCCAGATTTGATGAACAACAGGAGACTTTGCCCATGGTTGCTAATTTTTCTCAGAGTGATGTTGGTCGTGGTTTGTCTAACCGTCAGGATCACAGATTTGGTTGCGTGTCATCCGGATCTGATGCAAGAAATGGTGGTCGGGGGTGAGGTTGGACGCGTGTGCAGTGTCAACTTTGTGGGAAGCTTGGCCACTTGGTTGACCATTATTGGCATCGATTTGATGAAGATTTCTCTTGTGTTTCGGCCAACAATCATACTATTTCCAAGGATAATTCAACCAGTGTACTCCTCTCCTAGTTCTGCCTCTAGTGGTGGCAGTCAAGGTTGTGAGTGTTACTCTCGTGGGAGGTTGGACTCTCAAGGGACCACGCAATCTCAAGTGAATGTTGTTGCTGCATCTCCTAAGCGTTGGGCAGTGGACTCGGGTGCCACTTATCATGTAACTCCAAATAGGACAAACCTGGTAAATCCTTCTGATTTTCATGGTCCAGGTAAACTTACAGTGTGTAATGGTATTTCTCTTGATATTATAATGGTTGGTGATTCGATATTACCTGCTTCGTCTAGAGTTTTTTTGTTGCATGATTTATTGCATGTTCCTCACATAACGAAGTACTTGTTTTCAGTCTCTAAGCTTGTTAGGGAAAACAATATATTCTTTGAGTTCCATTCCAATATCTGTTGTGTACGTGATGAGATTACTAGACAAGTGTTGTTGACTGGTGAGGAAACTGGTGGACTTTACTCTTTTGTGACAAATAAAGTTGGAAGTGAAGGTTGGCGTGCTGGTGCTGATGTTAACCTTACCTCCAAATCTTTACATAGTGAAATGGATGAACTGTGGTATCGAAGGTTTGATCATCCCTCTAGTGATACTTTAGTTCAGATTGCTAGAGAACTTGATGTAAAGATTACTACGGGTATTAATAAAACTTGTATTGCTTGTCATATGGGAAAAAGTCACAAATTACCTTTTGTGAAATCAAATACAGTTTATGATACTCCTTTCCAGCTTATTTATAATGATTTGTGGGGACCACCACATGTCTCCTTTAATGGGTTTCAATTCGATGTTATTTTGTCGACGTGTGTACTCAACATACATGGATATATCTCTTGAAAAATAAGTCTCAGACCACAGCAGTATTTCAATTGTTTCAGAAAATGGTGGCTACTCAGTTTGGTGCTTTGGTTAAAGCGATCCAGAGTGACTGGGGTGGTGAATTTCGTAGCCTCTTGTCAGTGCTAGTTAGGGCAGTTATTATTCATAGGGTGTCATGCCCTCACACGTCCGAGCAGAACGATGTTGTTGAGCAGAAGCATCGACACTTAGTTGAATTGGCCCTTGTATTGTTGGCACAAGCATCTCTACCAATTGAGTACTGGTCCTATGCCATTATTGTTGTGATTCAATTGATTAAAAAGATGCCCACCAAGGTACTGCAAGAGGTCTCTCCTGTTAAGAAATTATTGGGGAAGAAATCGAATTATAGTGAACTAGGTTTTGGTTGTTAGTGTTTTCTTCACTTGCGACCTTTTCAAGCTCACAAACTTGCGTTTCGGTCTTAACCATGCATGTATTTGGGTGTTAGCCCCCAACACAAGGGTTTTCAATGCTTAGCAACTGATAGGAGAGTCTATATTTCTAGACACATTACTTTTAATGAGGGTATATTTCCTTTAGTAGGGAAATCTGCTTCAGTCAAGTCACATGTGGTCAATGACCAACAATCACAAGCAATTGATATTGTGACCAATATTTAACAGCTGCCTGGTCTTAGTGCACAATGCAGTTCTGGGCAGGTTCATCGTGTAGTACGGCTAGTATCCCAAGTTCTGTGTCAGGTTCATCGGTGCAGTCTAGTCGTATTGTTGTTCCTTGTATGCCTAGTGATAACACTGTTACACCTGCAAGAAATAATAATGTGAATTCCTTAGAGGAAGCTACAGTTGAGCCTTCTAGTTTACCTGCTCCTACCGATGTTGTTGTCGAATCTAGTGCCAATACTGAAGTTTTGCCTGAGATTGGTGCATCCCACACAAACTATCATCCGATGCTTACAAGGAGCAAGTGTGGTATTTTTAAGCCTAAAGCTTACTCAAGTCTTTTTGATGAAGAAGTTCCTTCAATGGTTAGTGAAGCGCTGCAGTTTCTAAACTGGGCTGATGCAGTTTAGGATGAATTTGATACTTTGAAGAAGAATGGAACTTGGACGCTTGTTAAGTTGCCACCAGGACGAGTTATAGTGGGTTATAAGTGGCTGTTCAAGTTGAAGCGTAATCCAGATGGCTCAATTCATCGATATAAGACATGACTAGTTGTAAAGGGGTTATCTCAGGTTCCTGGACATGACTATCTCGACACGTTTAGCCATGTTGTAAGGTTTTCAACACTTAATGTTGTTCTCTCTCTTGCTATGTCTAATAAATGGTAATTGAGGCCTGTTGATATCAACAACGCATTCCTTAATGTAGATTTGAAGGAAACCATTTTTATACAACAACCTCCAGGTTTTGAACATATGACAGCTGATGATACACCTCTTGTGTGAAAGATGTGTTGGTTCAAATAGGGTTTTAAGTTTCTCGAGTTGACGTTTCTTTGTTTTTCACTAATACCGACGTTGAGCATGTTTATCTTCTGGTATACGTCGATGATATTGTTATTACTAGATCATCATCTTCTGCAATTGTTGGTGTTGTGCTCATGTTGCGCAACATGTTTTCCCTTAAGGATTTAGGATCTCTCAGTTATTTCTTAGGGATTGAAGCAAAATGACTTAATGACTCATTGATTCTCAGTCAAAACAAGTTCATTTTGGAGCTTTTTGAGAAGGCGAACATGAAGAGTTCTTCACCATGTGTTATGCCATGGTTCTTGCGTCCAAATTGGCTGAGAATGATGATATTGTTATTACCAGTTCATCATCTTCTGCAATTGTTGGTGTTGTGCTCTTGTTGCACAACATGTTTTCCCTTAAGGATTTAGGATCTCTACGTTATTTCTTAGGGATTGAAGCGAAATGATTTAATGGTTCATTGATGCTCAGTCAAAACAAGTTCATATTTTTGAGAAGGCAAACATGAAGAGTTATGCACCA